TGTCTGTCTGTCTGTCCGTCTGTCCGTCCGTCTGTCTGTCCATCTGTCTCTCCGTCCGTCCGTCCGTCTTTTTCTCTGTCTGTCTGTCTGTCTGTCTGTCTGTCCGTCTGTCTGTCTGTCTGTCTGTCCATCTGTCCGTCTGTCTGTCCATCTGTCTCTCTGTCCGTCCGTCCGTCTTTTTCTCTGTCTGTCTGTCTGTCTCTCCGTCCGTCCGTCCGTCTTTTTCTCTGTCTCTCTGTCTGTCTGTCCATCCGTCTGTCTGTATCTGTCTGTCCATCTGTCTGTCTGTCTGTCTTTTTCTCTGTCTCTCTGTCTATCTGTCCATCCGTCTGTCTGTATCTGTCTGTCCATCTGTCTGTCTGTCTTTTTCTCTGTCTGTCTGTCTGTCTGTCCGTCCGTCCGTCTGTCTGTCTGTCTGTCCGTCCGTCCGTCTGTCTGTCTGTCTGTCCGTCCGTCCGTCTGTCTGTCTGTCTGTCCGTCCGTCCGTCTGTCTGTCTGTCTGTCCGTCCGTCCGTCTGTCTGTCTGTCTGTCTGTCCATCTGTCCGTCTGTCTGTCTATCTTTCTCTCTGTCTGTCTGTCTGTCTGTCTCTCCGTCCGTCCGTCCGTCTTTTTCTCTGTCTCTCTGTCTGTCTGTCTATCCGTCTGTCTGTATCTGTCTGTCCATCTGTCTGTCTGTCTGTCTTTATCTCTGTCCATCTGTCTTTTTCTCTGTCTGTCTGTCTGTCTGTCCATCCGTCTGTCTGTCTTTATCTCTGTCTGTCCATCTGTCTGTCTGTCTTTTTCTCTGTCTGTCTGTCCATCTGTCTCTCCGTCCGTCCGTCCGTCTTTCTCTCTGTCTGTCCATCTGTCTGTCTGTCTCTCTTTTTCTCTGTCTGTCTGTCCCTCTGTCTCTCCGTCCGTCCGTCCGTCTTTCTCTCTGTCTGTCCATCTGTCTGTCTGTCTCTCTTTTTCTCTGTCTGTCTGTCCCTCTGTCTCTCCGTCCGTCCGTCCGTCTTTCTCTCTGTCTGTCCATCTGTCTGTCTGTCTCTCTTTTTCTCTGTCTGTCTGTCCCTCTGTCTCTCCGTCCGTCCGTCCGTCTTTCTCTCTGTCTGTCCATCTGTCTGTCTGTCTTTTTCTCTGTCTGTCTGTCCATCTGTCTCTCCGTCCGTCCGTCCGTCTTTATCTCTGTCTGTCCATCTGTCTGTCTGTCTGTCTTTTTCTCTGTCTGTCTGTCCATCTGTCTGTCTGTATTTATTTGTCTGTCTGTCTTTATCTCTGTCCGTCTGTCTTTTTCTCTGTCTGTCTGTCTGTCTTTATCTGTCTGTCTGTCTTTATCTCTGTCCGTCTGTCTTTTTCTCTGTCTGTCTGTCTGTCTTTATCTGTCTGTCTGTCTTTATCTCTGTCCGTCTGTCTTTTTCTCTGTCTGTCCATCCGTCTGTCTGTCTTTATCTCTGTCTGTCCATCTGTCTGTCTGTCTTTTTCGCTGTCTATCTGTCTTTTTCTTTGTCTGTCTGTCCATCTGTCTCTCCGTCCGTCCGTCCGTCTTTTTCTCTGTCTGTCTGTCTGTCTTTATCTGTCTGTCCATCTGTCTGTCTTTATCTCTGTCCGTCTGTCTTTTTCTCTGTCTTTCTGTCTTTATCTCTGTCTGTGCATATCTGATACATAAAACAATATTTTAATGAAAATATATGCAATACTTTATAAAAGCAATAGGATGCTTGAGCTTGAATTGTGAATCTGTGTGTGCGTGCGTGCATGTGTGTGCGTGCGTGCGTGCATGTGTGTGTGTGTGTGTGTGTGTGTGTGTGTGTGTGTGTGTGTGTGTGTGTGTGTGTGTGTGTGTGTGTGTGTGTGTGTGTGTGTGTGTGTCTGCAGATGGACGATTGGAGTTGATGGGATCTGCTGACAGGGTAAAGAAAACACCGGACTTCTTTTTATTAATAAATACACCACCATTCAGAAGTTTGGGCTCAGTAAGACTGATCACTGTTTTTACTGTATTTTTGATTAAATATATACAGCCTTGGTGAGCAGAAGAGACTTTTTCAAGAACATTTAAAAATCATGCTGATGCCAAACTTTTGAATGGTAGTTTATATGCAGTAATGTTAAAGAAATATAATACAGCTAATAATTCTGTAAGAGTCTGTGGTCGTGTTTTCATTTCTTCAGTCTCTTTTTGAATCACTTTCTGCACTGAATGAGTTTGTGTTGTTTTTGTGCTGATGATCATGTGTGTGCATCTCTTCATGACAGGCTGTCACAGTCCCACAGAGGTAATCAAACACAGCAACAGTGCAGACACACGTCATACTGAAACACACACCTGTGAGAAACACACACGTGTTCAGTGTAGTGATTGTGTGCTGCGGTTTCAGGCCGGTGAGATCATTACCCAGAGATCACCTGCGTTTACCGCCTCTACCAGTGCAGACCATCCCTAACTATCCAAACCAGTTTGATGAGTCTCCTCCATCCAGACCAGCACCAGCACCAGCGTCACCGCAAACCAGATCACACAACAGCAGACCCGCATGGACACAGTGAGTCTCACACACACACCTGCAGAAACTAGTTCAAGTCATTTATTTATAAAGCACATTTAAAAGCAGTCACAGGACTGACCAAAGCGATGCACAAACTCACATAGTCGAAACAGGAAATAACACATACAAAAACATCATAGTTATTTTTGTTTTCTTTGCACACAAAAAGTATTCTCGTAGCTTTGTAAAATTACAGTTGAACCACTGATGTCGCATGGACTATTTTAATGATGTCCTCACTACCTTTCTCAAGAGATTTTTCAGGCAGGAAATTAATTTTAGTTTAATTTTAGAAAGTAAGTGGAGCCGAAAAAAGCTAGAAGCAACAACAGAGGAAGCATGTTTATCTAAAGTGAGCTGACTGTAACGAAGAACACTGAGGTTCCGAACCTTGGTGTTAAAAGCTGACAGGCTTTCCTGGGTAGAGTTGTTAACTGTAAAAAATAAAAACACAGAAAGCTGAGAAAATCACGTTTTTATTGAATACTACAAACTGGATCATATTCAGTACGATGATCAAAGCATAGCTGTAGTAGATCATCAACACTAGGGTGACCATACGTGCCATTTTCCCAGGACGCGTCCTGGCCAGGATTTGTTTTGGCTTTGGTTTCCTGTTTTCATGCTTGCTGAAGGTAATGATCGAAAAGTATTATGACCAATAACATGCAAGCATTGTACATAATGGACCAATCATGGCCTTTGCCAGTTCCTTTCACATTCCATTTCACTCGCTAACATTAGGCACTTTTCATTTATATGCCGTTTATTGTTGATGATCGTATTATTTTTCACATGCATCTGCTTACATATGAGATCGCTCGTTTTTGCGTCTTCCTCAACTGTGTTTCTGATCGAGAGATTCTGGACTTATTCAGGAGATGCATAATAGCGCCCCCGAGTGTATAACAGTGAAAACACAGGAACCTGGAAAATTCCATGTTTGGCAGGGAAAGAGTTAAACTCAAAATTGTTAGACTATTTAAGACTATAACCTCAGTCATTGAGTCATTTAAAGTTACTTGCAAACCAGAGCTTTACCTCATCAAGGTATGCAAATAAAGATTGTATTGCAGAAGGGTCATTTTTTAATAGTTAGATAGATCTGGGTATCATCTGCATAAAAGTGGAAAGACACGCCATTCATTCTCAGAATCGAACCTAAAGGAAGCATGTAAAGAGAGAAAAGGCAAAGGTGCTAGAATAGAGCCCTGAGGAATTCCAGATTCAAGAAGAGGAAACTAGAGTGAAAAATATCTCTCGGTTAGACTCAGGACTGAACCTTTTAACCCCACACACAGGATTCTAATCTAGATAAGAGCAACAGGTGGTCTATAGTGACAAAGGCAGCAGAGAATTAAAATCACAGTCACCTGCATCGGCAGCAACTAAAACTCTCAGCAGAGCTGACTCGGTCTATGAAAAGGGTTTAAAACAAGACTGGAAAATTACTTTAAAAAGACTTAAGTGGACCCTTAATTTCTCCTATTTAAGTTAAACTGTCTGATTTGTGTGTTTTTATTCTCAGATCCAGTCCGAGTGAGCGAGAGAATGTAAGTCCATTTCTTTGCTGTAACTCAAATTCATTCATTAGCTCCATGTTTTACACGCACAACAAAGTCAATCAGTCAAAGCTCGATCCATACACAATTTAATTTACTTTTTACAAAATCCTGTTCTGATGCCATGCTATTCATCACAGAGGCATTTATGAAACCGCAAATACATCCAGTAATATATATAACCATTGTTTTGACCAACAGATGTTGTATTTAAAGAAACAGATGTTCCAAATATAAAGAAATTGCCAACAATCTCTATTAAAGCATGATGTCTGATGGTTTTGTGTATTCAAGAAACCCAAACATAAATCAGATAATTCATGTAAATAATAATCACTCTCCATTTCACCCTCAGGTTAAACCACCATCATCTGCAAGTAAGTTATGTTGCCTTATATAATATAATATATCATATAATACACACTAGCAGTCAAAAGTATTTGAACAGTAAGATTTTTAATGTTTTTAAAGAAGTCTCTTCTGCTCACCAAGCCTGCATTTATTTGATCCAAAGTACAGCAAAAGCAGTAATATTGTGAAATAATTGTACTATTTCAAGCAGCTGTTTTCTATGTGAATATGTGTTAAACTGTAATGTATTTCTGTGATGCGCAGCTGTATTTTCAGCATCATTACTCCAGTCTTCAGTGTCACATGATCTTCAGAAATCAGTATAATGATGATTAATAATAAATGCTTCGCGATGATAAATCAGCATATTATTATGATTTCTGTAGTTTCACAAATTTCACGATATTACTGCTTTTGCTGCATTTCTGATCAAATAAATGCAGGTTTGGTGAGCAGAAGAGACTTCTTTAAAAACATAAAAAATCGAACTGTTCAAAAACGCTTGACTGTAGTGTAATATAATAATAGCTGTAATAATAAAATATAATATACCTGTCCTGCAGGTCACACGTCTCACAGGTTTTCTCTGGATCTGGACTCTCAGGATTTGGACAGGTACTGACCGCAGACACACATTCTGTGCATTTTAACATCATTAATTAGAGGAATGCTGTGTGTAACAGTGTTTGTCTGATCCTGCAGCTCCTGTGAGAGCCAGAAGAGCTCATTCGGTAAGAACCGACTCACTGAATCACAGCTGGAGCAGCTCAGATTCACAGATTCTGGATTCGTTACAGATTCACTCGCCAGGAAGCAGCAGCATCACGAATGGCCTCCTGCTAAAGGAGAAACCGACGGCAGCTTCACCAACCACAGCAAACCTGCGCAGGTACAGCATCAGCGCTAATACTGCCGTTATCACTGACGCTCCAGTTATTATTACAGTTCAAATCAGCAGTGTTTAAAGTCGAGATGAAGCAGAAGTAGCTGCAGATCTTTTCTTCAGCACTGTAACAGATTTTTGAAAAAGAGGCGGAGATTTAGTTCTGTCTGCCGATTGTTGATTGGATGTTGAAATGTGGGCGTGGCACTCATAAATGGAGGCGGGTCTAAATGTGAGCTTGCAGAAAATTGTGGGCGGAGTTTAGGTGATTGGAGAGTCTGTCTGGAGAAAAAGATCCAGTTATGACAATTTGATTTGAGTTTTACATTGTTTAAAAAAAATAATAGAACATGCTTCCTGTCAGAAATTTGGAATAATTCAGATTTTTTAAATGTTTTTGAAAGAAATCTCTTCTACTCACCAAGGCTGCATTTACTTGATCAAAAATACAGTAGAAACAGTGCAACATTATTACAATTGAAAGTTTTCTATTGTAATTTATTGTCAAATGTAATTTATTCCTGTTGTACGGTCCACCCAATTGGCCCAACGAAGGTATCCAATGGTGGTTAAAAGTAATTGTGCGAAGTAATTTAATATAAATTCTAATCTGACTCCATTTTATTATGACATCAGATTTAGATTGAAATGCCAATTATTAATACTAATCCGTTTCTAATTATTATTAGTAGTATTTTGTCTACTACATAGTTAACTGCATTTAGTTCATTCTCCATCTGACCTGAGATCTAGTATGTACTTAATAGAGATGTAAATAGAAAGTTTCATCATGATACGATACGATATCGATTCTCATGCCTAGCGATACGATATTTGCAGATACCTCAAAAGATTCTGATACGATTACGATACGATACAGGAGTATATCGATCGATTTATTGATATTATGATATTATACACAAGCAGTTACATTTTTATTGACTCACAAGTGCAACCAAAATATATAACCTGAACATTTATCTGAAATTAGCCATTTTTAACAGAGCTAAGCCAAATACAGTTTTGGAGTTTTTAGAAAAAATTTATTATTAAAATATGATATAATCCAGCCATAATATTTCTTGCCATGAAAACGGCCGAGCAGCAGATCAGCATATTATACTGATTTCTGAAGATCATGTGACACTGAAGACTGGAGGAATGATGCTGAAAATACAGCTGCGCATCACAGAAATACATTACAGCTTAACAGATACTCACGTAGAAAACAGCTGTTTGGAATAGTAATAATATTTCACTGCTTTTGCTGTGTTTCTGATCAAATAAATGCAGCCTCGGTGAGCAGAAGAGACTCTTTCAGAAACATTAAGAAATCGTAATTATTCCGAACGTAGTGCATGACTGGACAGATTGCTCAACATAAGATCAATAACATGCATTTAGAAAATACACCGCTAATGTCCGTGTCACGTCTGTCCTGCAGGGATTGGCGGATCAGAACATCAGCATATTATACTGATTTCTGAAGATCATGTGACACTGAAGACTGGAGGAATGATGCTGAAAATACAGCTGCGCATCACAGGAATACATTACAGTTGTACAGATACTCACATAGAAAACAGCTGTTTGGAATAGTAATAATATTTCACTGCTTTTGCTGTGTTTCTGATCAAATAAATGCAGCCTCGGTGAGCAGAAGAGACTCTTTCAGAAACATTAAGAAATCGTAATTATTCCGAACGTAGTGCATGACTGGACAGATTGCTCAACATAAGATCAATAACATGCATTTAGAAAATACACCGCTAATGTCCGTGTCACGTCTGTCCTGCAGGGATTGGCGGATCAGAACTGGTATGTTGGTGCGGTTAGTCGTGTGGACGCTGAACACGCTCTTCACCTGGTCAACCGGGTATAACACACCTTCATTTCACTCCAGCATCATCACATTTGTTAACAGTTCAGAGACACAAGAACGTACAGAAATCACACTCAGAAAACAAACATGTGGACTGTGCGTGCTCTGAACTGAAGGATTGGGGTGGTTCAGAACCACAACCGGCTGGTTCGGACCGGGAAGCTTGATGCGCTGATCCGCTTTCAGAGGAGTTAACCTCAGTTTTTGATCTTCGGTTGAGAATCGAGGAAGGCCCATTCCAACCGACGATGACCTGCGTTTCTTGGCTTTTCTCTTTTCTTTCTTGTGTTTTTTACGTGGTGGAGAGTCTTGGTGCTTCTCTTCTCTTTCACAAAGGTTTCTCTTTAGTATCAGCTTGATGGCCACTTCAGGACTTCCGGACACGTTCTGCTCGCTTAGCGTGCAGCAGAGAACCGGTCGCGCCGTCAAACTCTCCTCTCGAGTTGGCGCTTCCGGAAGCTTCTTGGTGGGTTCCAACATAGAACTGGGAATCCTGAACAAAGCTACTTTTGGATACATGTTGAAAACACAGGAATGTTTTTTTTGGCCAGACTCATGTTCAGAATGTCCCTTGTCTTGATGTGGAATGTCATCTTTGTTTGATGGAATGACGCTCTGGTTTGGCAAAACCAATGGTTGAGTCAAATTTGGAGCTTGTTTTGAGTGGCTTGTGTTTAGGGTTTTCTCTGATCTTTTCACTTGACCATGAGTCTTAGATATTGCAGAGCCTTTACTAGTCTTATCCTCTGTCTTTGTTTCCTTGAGACTCCACGAAGCACCTTTTGGTTTCTCCTCAGTATCCTCTTTTTTAATCAGAATACTACAGACCAACGGTTTCTCTGCACCCTTCACCTCGTCCTTCGGCTCTTTCATTGCCACCTTCCAGCGTTGCATTTCTGGTAAGGACTTTGAGATGCTTTGAGTTGACTTAGGCGTAGGACAAAGAGAGAAAACTGATGAGATCACTGGAAGGCTTTCAGAACTCAATTCTGGACCCTCGAGCCTGATGATCTCTTGATCCTTGGTCTTCGGGTTGCGCTTGTACCTGGCTGGTGTCTCTGAAGAACACTGTGGTTTGTGTGCTGATTGAACAGTTTTTGTGATAGTCTGAACACCGGTGCACGTTGAAGGCCGCTGCTGTTTGACTTTGTGAGATGTTGCAGACGTGGACGGGCTGACTGGACACCCTTTGGCAACTTGGCATTTGAAGGACAGTTTGCCTCCAGTTGCGGCTGATGAAGGTTCATCCACGTTGCTCTTCTGGTCTTGCGGGATCCCATTGGGTGGGATCAACCGTAGCTCCAACTCCCGAGTCCCGTTGACGTTTTTCACCTCGACCAGTTCCACCAAACACCCGGCAGGAATATTGATCTCCTCTGGACAGGACACAGTCAAAGGCTTGTTGTGTTGTATTGGCTGGTTCAAAGGTGCCAACAGTTCCACTTGGACACTGGATAACGGGCTCGTTTTTCACCTCGACCAGTTCCACCAAACACCCGGCAGGAATATTGATCTCCTCTGGACAGGACACAGTCAAAGGCTTGTTGTGTTGAATTGGCTGGTTCAAAGGAGCCAACAGTTCGACTTGGACACTGGATAACGGGCTCGATGTTTCTGCTGATGATCTTACAGGTACTCTGGAGTTCATTCTTGATTGGTTGCTCTTTTCTGCACTGGAGTGCAGTGGACTTTTGACTGGACTGCTGGGAAGTACAACTGGTTTCTGCATCCCAACGTTAGTCCCTGTTGTGGACTGACTAGACCTCTGATCCATCTGGATATTCCTCTTGGATAAGGGCGTATTAAGCAGCGCTCTGAGCGGGGTGTTCAATTCAACAGGTGCTCGGACCTGGACTCTGGGAATGGTTTTTGCAGCCATAGCCTTTTCCGAAACACCAACCCTTTGCTGTAGTGGTTCTGTAGAGCTAACATGGACTCTTGGGAACGTGGCTTTCGGAATAAGCTTTTCCGAAATGGAAACCTTGATTTTCCCATCGGCACCGAGTTGAGAGTTCGATAGGTTGCCGTTTGCCTCCCGTGATCTTAGAACGACTTGCGGCGTGTTGCCTAACGAGTGACTCACGATTGGAGCGCAGCTAGGAATGGCACCATTGAACTGAGTCTTAGAAACTGGAACGACGGTTGTTGTATTGGTCATACACGGCGTCGTGAAACTGTAGGTCATCCGGGCACGATTACTCCTGGTTTGGTTCACTGTTTTACTAATAACAGATGATTGGTCGGGTTGACTTCCACTGGGGTGTTCATCATGGGAATTGGGAATTGCACACTGGTCATTCCTTTCAGGCCAATCTGAAATCCCGAGAGCATCAGGAACAGATGGACCTGCTGTATCTAGGGTGGATACAGCGAAGTCAGTTATGAAGCCTTCTTCCGCATTTCTCTTGTGTATACGAAGAATATGCTTCACCATGTAATCTCTCCGCACGGCTCCGTACGAGCAGAAGCTACACCTGTACGGGTACGAGCCGGTGTGCGAGACGATGTGTTTCTGAGACTCCGTTTTCGAATAGGAAACATAGCTGCAGAGCGCACAGGATAAAGTCACCTCCTTATGATGGGACACGTGCCTCTCGAACAGGTCAGTGTCCTTGGTGGAAAAACGGCATTTTGCACAGCACAGGCGTTCAATGTCTTTCCTAGGTATAGCATTGGCCTTGCTGTTCATAAATGACATGAAACTTTGTTGTGAACGCATGGTCAGGACATCAAGTTAACAATCCTACGGTCCAAAAACCAAAGAATACGTGATCCACATTAGCTGTTTTTCCACTGGTGAGAATCCCTTCCTTTGGGCTCAGCACACTGCTAGTTTATATCTGCACAATGGGTGAGAAAAAAAAAAAGAGTGTTTCAGGAAATTGGAAAGGAATACGATTCAAAAAGTAGTAATAAACAACTGATTCACATAAAACACTCTCTTCATTGGTTATGTTTTGCAACAACTCTAATTTGACCTTTGCTTCTATAAATTCTTTGTAATGCAACCAACAACAACACTGTTAAAGATCATTCATGTTCAAATCACTAGTGCATCTTGAAAGTGAATTTAATGGAGCATTAAAGATGACACTTTAGTTAGGCGAAAGCTGGGGAAAAAGAGTTTGTAAAGAAGTTTACTATAACCATTGTTGTCTTTTTCAAGGTATCTTGAAAGTGAACCACAGAGACCAGAATATCATAAAGACTTGGAAATGCAACCACTAACAACCAAACTGCAAATGACTAATAACCACTCAGAACAACTAGTACAGTCAGTGTACCAGGTTTTGCATTGGTTGTTATTTGATAGAACATGGTCTGAAATGTCCGTTGGCCAGTTTTGGGAGTCTACCTGTCAAACTCTCTAGCGCTACCATCAGCTTGAAGCTTCACTTTTTGAAACCCAGATTTTCTGTTAATAATATTTCAGTCCGATTGCATAAACACTCTTTGACCTCCAATGTTGAGCAGAAGAGCTGCATCTGAAAGTTGCATTTTTTTATTTCACGTTTATTACATTTATTTTGGCTTACAATTTTTTTTTCTGTTCTTCACTAAATTTGGGTTGAACAGTCATAAGGCCATTCTGAACAATACTGATTAAACGAATCTTTGATATTCAAAACTGTTCACCAATGAATAGCCCATTAAAGCAAAAAATGAATAAAAATGCACACAAATCCAGTGTGAAACCAACATTTGGCAAAACGTTTGCCTATAAAATCATGTAATGCAAGAACACAGTCAATGCTCTTGATTTGGCTTACTGGTTAAAAACACGAATACCAATACTTTCCGTAGTTTTAATCATATTTATTAGTAAAGTTATACATTTCTCTTTTATGCCAAAAATCATTAGGATATTAAGTAAAGATCATGTTCCATGAAGATATTTAGTAAATCTCCTACCGTAAATATCTCAAAACTTAATGTTTGATTAGTAATATGCATTGCTAAGAACTTCATTTGAACAACTTTAAAGATGATTTTCTCAATATTTAGATTTTTTTGCACCCTCAGATTCCAGATTTTCAAATATTGTCCGATCCTAACAAACCATACATCAATGCAAAGCTTACTTATTCAGCTTATTTCCATAAATGGACCCTTATGACTAGTTTTGTGGTCCAGGGTCACATATTATAAATGCAAGCAATATAGTATAAACAGATGCAATGTGTGAGAAAAGAAGGAAACTGTGGCTTTACAGAATGTATTAGGTCATAACTGCACAAATCCATCACACTTGTCTCTGCAGATCTCCTGCTCGCTCATCAGGAGCAGATGTGCACAGCACACAGTAAGGCGAAGTAAACAGAATGTATTAGGTCATAACTGCACAAATCCATCACACTTGTCTCTGCAGATCTCCTGCTGGCTCATCAGGAGCAGATGTGCACAGCACACAGTAAGGCGATGTAAATAAGCAGAGCATGCACGCATTTCTCAAGCGTTGCGTGAGCCACGCGCGGATGCGTTAAGACACTAACCTCGCCTTAAAAGCGTCCTCCTCTCAGAAGAGCGCCTGATGCGCTTAATTCGTCCATTCTTCACTAGTTTCTCGCCGGGCTCGCTTGCATTGTTTTCTATCTGCCGCTGTGTGACTGTGCAGCAGAGCGCGCGCGGAGCACGTGACGCGACGCGCGGCTCTGATTGGCTGCTGGCTGCAGTAGAACTCTACAGCTCACGCGTTTCATAACCGCAGCGGCTCAGAGCACGTGTCTGCTCGCTCTGCCGCTGATCGACGACAGAATACAGAGCTCAGAGCTTTTGTTCTAGTAGCACACCGCCTGGTGCAGCCGCTTGGTTCGTGGGATGCTGTGAGATCGCCAGTAAAGCCACCCGCGCGGCGCTCTTGCTCTTATATAACTTGAGCCAAGATGGCGCCCATCACACACAGCTTCCCAGTTTACAGACAAGCTTCACACGTTCTGATGGTGCTATAGGATGGCTATTGGTAATACGTGTATGTGTATTTATTTGGGTGTATATTGGCCACACCCCTTTGTAAATACAATCTTATTAAGTACCTGATGATTCAGTTCTCTGCTGTTGTAGCGCTAACTCTGCATTATTTCAGGTATATATATAAATATGCTACTTCAGCTGGTTATGTGGAGTCTGCTCAAGTGAACTCCTCACATATAAAGCACAGCAGCATTGTTTATTACTGCGGTGATCATCACATACAGTACAGACAGCATGTGCAGTGTCACCCGACGGGTTACTCTACAATAATGATCGGCTGAACTGTACATTATATCACACTTATGGCTGCCAACACCAAACACATAAACCATGGACACGAGATAGTGGTTTCCATTGAGTTCTTCATAGAAACGGAAGAGAGAGGGTCATGTTCTTCTGCAATATGAGTTTGCTGTGATTCAGGATCAACAATCCCAGATGGACACGATGCTGAATTCAATAAATGAATGAATATACTTCATAAAATTAAACAGTAAATTGTATATATTTTGTAATTATATACAATAAAGTTTTTGTTGGATATTTATTTTCTTAACGCTGCAAAAAAAACACATAAATGCAATAAACAAGTATTTTTTTTAATAAATAACTATACTTGTGACACATGGCCGGATTTCACGGGGCTGAACGCTGAACGCTGAAGTCAGAGGACTTTTAAATCAGGAACACATCATCGGCCACGTCACTTCCGGTCGGGCGTGTGCGCGCAGGTCTGATCGGGCGCTTCAGTAGTTCTTGACTATATATGGACAGAGCTGAGCGCCCTCGCCCCGCCCCCCGCCCCTTCCGCGTTCAGCGCTCCGCGAGCCGCCGGTGACAGAAGCCCTCCTCAGCCGCTCATTCATTCACCGCTCACCGGAAACAGCAGAGATGTCCTACGAGCTCAGTAAGTCACGAGTGTGAGTGTGTGTGAGAGTGTGTGTGAGAGTGTGTGAGAGTGTGTGAGAGT